TAGGCGAGAGCGGTCCATGAGGCGTCTATCCTTATATTATGTCTATGATATCTATGGCTACGTTTCAGTCTCTGACTTCCTGGTTCGATTCGGTTGATCGGTAAAAAATAAGGGGTACTTAAAAGGCATCTAGAAGGTCTTGTTGTCATATCTGGGAACATAAACACGGCAAACAAAGGTATCAGCTGATATGTTACATATCGGAACACACGGATTCCTGTGGCTGGCGGCTCTCAGCCTAATTCAAAACGTTGAATTCTGCTCTTCCGCGGAAATACCGGATGTCCCTAGTATTGCCACTTACTTCGGAACTAAGACTCGCTATGAGGAGGTGAAGCCGAACCTACTCCGAGACCCTTTAACCGTGAACACCTCGGTCCTCAGACCCCCGCCAGGTGATTTTTGCACCCCATTCCACGTGACCGCCATCATTAGACATGGTAGTCGGTTTCCTACCATCAAGAACATCCGCAGAATACACAGACTAAGCGAGCTACTCCAGAATGAAGCTTCCAGAACCTCAGAGAGCTCCACTGGCTGGCTGGATGAGCTCCGGAACCGTTGGGAACCCTGGTACACCGAGGACATGGACGGTAAGCATTCTAGACTGGAGTTTTTGCTGGCAACTTTTGCAGGGAATTTCTTTTCAGGAAATATTTTTCAAGTAAAAATCTGAAGATGAATTTAAGGTAATAAAAGAAGAAAAAATGGATTTACATTACACAGAATAAAAAAAAATCAGGCCTTTTTAAAAAATAAGAATTTGCATCTAGAATTTTTAACTATTCCAGAAAAATTAATCCTCTTATGCCTCTTAATCAGGTCAGCTGGTGAGGAAGGGTAGGGAAGACCTCCAGTTCCTGGCCCAGCGGCTGGCCACTTTGTTACCATCTCTGCTGTCGGAAGAAAATGTGAGGAAGAGGAGAATCCACTTTGTGACCAGCTCTAAGCATCGCTGTGTGAGCAGCGTGGAGGCATTCCAGGAGGGTCTGCAGCAACACTGGGGTTGCCATGGTGACAGTCACCACTGCTGCTGCTGCCACCACTGCAATATATTCTGGTGTTCTGATTGTCTGTGCTATCTCGTCAGATCAGCGCTACGATAGTAAAGTCTGTACTATGCCTGTCGGTCGCTGCTACCTTTCGAAAACCACTACCGTCATGTTTACATACCAAATACCTTATCAGTCAGTGTCAATGTTAAATATAATAATCGGAAATCATTATTTAAGTGACGGTATTTAAGTGGCGCTTAGCAGTGATACGTAGCATAAAAATATGTGAATGACGAAAACTTTTCTAAAACCACCTGAACCCGTTTAAAATACCTACTTATGTAATTGCACTAATATCCTTCTTGAGAATAACGTGCCTGTTTTAATATGTAAAGCTAGTACATTTAGATGCACTAAACCTCATATTAGAATCCTACCTTCATAAAATACACATGGTTCCACATAATGATCTACCAAAACTCCATCCAAATATTTTACCTGGTAAATATGTGGGTAGCACATTTTGCTGCAGCAGATTCCTTCATTTGAATGTTATAAAATACAGAAGTAGCACATGTTGATGCACTAAAACTATTACACCATAGACATAAACAGCTTCAATACCACATAATAACGCTACCAGCATGCTCTATTTGGCAAGGTTTAATAAAAAAAAAATTAAAGGCCCTATATTTTAAATGAGGACAAAATGTCCCACAAAAACAACGTATTTTGTCCTGATTCACATGACTGACGACAAGTAATGACTTTCTTGCTTACAGTAAAGTAAAGACATTGCGGATGACAAATAAAGCCATTTACAAATATGGTTACAAGCTGCCTGTCATGTAAACTTAAAACATGAAGTAATACAGCAGCTAAATGAAAGCCAGGTATAAAATAAATTAATTAAAGCTTGCCTTAATCTTTGACGAAATAAAACAGATGAAACGAAACTTCCACAGGTAGGATGTATTGATAAGAAATCTGCTGAGTAAGAAGTATGTGACATAGCATCAATGTGTGCATGCGCATTACCACAAGGTAGGACAGATTGATGAGTAGCACAGATAGTTAGAACACCTGACAAGTCTTTTACCTAAAATGTTGACCTCTGACCTCTGCCCCTACAGACAGTGCTCAAGGATACAACCATGAGGTGGATGATGAACTAATGCGCTTCTTTGAGCGTTGCCGTGGTTATGTGGAAGGCGTGGAGAACAACCACACTGCGCTGCTGGAAGTTGAGAAGTTCAAACATGGCGAGGAAATGCAGGCAGTGAGGAGGAGGTTGGCTGAGAAACTCGGCCTTTCTCTTCACCTACTCACCCCAGGTAGGAGCCAAGAGGCATTCCCTCAAGTTAGAGATGTAATATAGAACTTGGAAGTTGAAGAATATTACAACATTTCTCTTTTTTTCTTTTTACCAATTTTGCAGATCTTTTTCTCATTCTGTGTGTTTAGTCACTCTATCAGATTGTAATGTTAGAAAGGAATATTCCCTTTGACCTTTTTTTCCCCTTTCTGGCACTTCTAGACTTGGTGGAAGCAGCGTTCTTCATCTGTTCCTACGAACTGTCCATCAAATCCATCCACTCACCATGGTGCTTCCTGTTTGATGAGAGTGATGCAAAGGTATGAGAGCAATATTTTCTGAAAGATATTTGCAAAATTGATATAAAACAAAAAAAAATGCAAGGAAATGTATTATTTCTCAGTAAATTCACAGTGAACCTCAGTTTACTTTGGTTTAAAATGCTGAATTATCAAAAATAAAGTTTGAATCAATTCAGGTGTGGGTGAGCAAAGTGAAGGGTGCCTTCAGTAATGTCTGTCTAGGTAGCAGAAACCAACCTCAGCAAAATGTTATGGACATGTTAGGATGCACATCTTGTCTTATAAGACAAGGTTTTCACACCTTAAACTTTTAAGGTCAAGTTTAAAGTTTTCCCTACTACAAAAGCAAAATGGTTGATCAGAAATGGAAAGTTGAAAAGCTTGGTCCAGGCATTTAGACTCTTTGAATTGGAACACAGTTTGGTCAAAAGGGTTACCCTCTGGAGGCAGAAACAGAGATTTGTTCTGATTCATTTTGGATTTTCAATCGGGAAAAATGTTGGTTCTGAGGTTTATCATCTGGGATCTTGAACAAAGACCAGAATAGATTAAACTGATCAATGATTTTTGATGCTGTTTTCTCCTTATCATTTTTCTGCAGGTGTTGGAGTACAGTTTTGATCTGAAGCAATTCTGGAAGCGCTCTCATGGTCACTTAATCAGCAGTCTGTCCAGCTGTCCGCTCTTCCATCACATTTTCAGGACTCTCGATAAAGCTGGTCGTCCTCGCAGGTGGGGTGTTCCCTGACTAAGCTCTAGGAACCCCCTTATTGATTCCCTATTGTTAATTGACTGAATCCTGGTTGATTCCAGATCCACTGAGGCAGGGCCAGAACCAGCCTCTGTCTTGGTGGGACATGCTGAGACGCTCATCCCCCTCATCTCCCTACTTGGACTGTACAAAGACCAGACTCTGCCCACTGCTAGCAACTACCACTCACAGCATGGTATGAAGCCTGACATTTATCAAATTTGAAATGTGTATGTATTTCTTTCTACATGCCAGGAAGGTTCCCATTTTTGGAACAAAAAAAGGTCTCACTTTTTCCAAAAAGGAAAGATAAATTTTTACAAGGAAATTTTCTTAAAATGACAAAACACTGGAGTGCTAGAAGCATCTTTTAATTCTGTGTTATGTAAAAATAAGTAAAAAAGGAAAAAAGTTTAGTAAAATTTGAAGGCATCTAGAAGTGTTGGGGAAACTTTGTGCTAAAAAGACATTTAAAAAAAATTAGGAAAAGCCGACTCCTTTCTGGACATACTCAAAATTTCACCCAAATTACTAAATAAAAGAAAGCATTTATTTATTTATTTAAAAAAATATATATTTTATAATAAACAGAGTTTACACCATACTGGGATGGTCAGCGGAATTATTAAAATGGTAGTATATTGGGTTTTTTTTTTGGGGGGGCGAGGGGTTACAGGCAAACAGTCCCATTTTATAGCACAATCAATCAACTATGTTATCTTCGGTTGTTATACCGTATGTCAAAGATAACTTAAAAGAAATTAGACTTCATAATTTGAAGCCTTAATATCGGGTCTCTGTCTCCTTAAGTTTCTACTCTTTGACACTCTGCCTTCAGCACGTCATCACAATAATGCTTCTCATTATGACGTTAGCAACCATTGTTGGGAGCATAGAACTGAGAATTAGTGTGTATGTTAATCAGACCAGCTAACTTGCAATTAGCAAGTTAGGTGCTTGCTAACTGCTGCTACTCTGTTAGAGCTGTGTGAGGGAGGTGAGGATGGAGGTGTATTGTAAGGTGGAAGCTCAGCTGGAGACTACAGCTCCAAGAGGAGCTTTGTGGAAATACTCGGCGTCCTGTGGGAGCAAACACAAACACCTCTGAATGACTGCCACAGGAAATTCAAGGAGTTCTCAAACATGCATGAAAGAATCAAGGCGACACTCTAGCTATGTTTTTGATTAGGGAATAATAACATGATATAAAGCTCATAAAATCTCTATTCAGCTCTCCTTACTCTAAAGAGTAAAGAGATTTCAATAGAGATTTTTAAAATCAACTTTTTTTTTAATCGACTGTAACCAACTGCCTTCAGAAGTCACATAGTGTTTTCAAATGAACATGTCCTGTTGTTCAGAACAATAACTGCACATCTCTCTGTAGGAAGAAGTTTCCGGACCAGTCGCATCATTCCATACGCTGCCAACCTGCTCTTCGTTCTCTATGACTGTCAGCGTGGCCCCCGACTACAGCTGCTCATCAATGAGACTCCACTACGCTTTCCAAACTTTCAGACTGAGGATGCACCACTCTACAGGGATGTTCGTGCAGCATACCGCTACCTGCTAGATGGCTGTGACTTCAACACAGAGTGTGAGAGGAAACCCGAAGGCCGGGGACCCAACACTGAGCTTTGACAGCTTTAACCCTTACACAATCTTATTCTGTCTTAATCCACCTGGTGACAAAGCCTCAAACTCACTCAGGCATCATCCAATCAGATACTGTAGCTGCAAAACTGCTCTTCAAGGTCTGAACTTTCTTAAGTGTTGCAAAAACTGACTGGAGTGATTATTCCCTCTTAGTGGAGCTGTGACACTCCATTGAAGCGATTTCTTTTCATAAACTGCTGTTTAAAGGGCATCCAGATATCTACCAGCTCTTTTCAATAGCAAACAGTTTCTGTACCATTTCCAGCCTCTGCATACAAAAATATTAATGTAATCAACTGGAAAAATCTCTGTGTTCCACTCAACTAGCTGAAATTTACTGAAATTGTATTTAGATGAATACAAAGAATATTGCAGCAAGGCCTTACTCTAATTTTTTAACTGACTCTTTAATCTGGGATTCTGTCTGAAGCTTTAAGTTAATTTCTTGCTGACTCAGGTTTTATTTAAGGCAGCAGTATGTAACTTTTATTTAAAATGTTTTCTACATATGTTAAAACCATTGCTATGCCATGACAGCATAATATGAGCATATGTAAAGATGGATCTCTCTTCATAGATTGCAGCTACTATTGCAGTCTGCAAAAATGCACCGCTGCCAGTCAGTAGCCAAGAGGAAAGTATTGGAGCTGTCAATCAATTCCTGTATGTGCTGCTAAATGTGTTGATGGCAGAGAAATAATTTGCTGTTACAGGACCTTTATTGGTGGCCATGACAATTATCCTGAACTTTCCTGGCAGGCTATGTTGTGATAAGCCAGTTGTAGTTTATCACATAAGCTACAACTGGCTTATGTTGTAGCTGATACAGCAGCTTCATGAAAGCCAGGTATAAAATAAATTAATTAAAGCTTACCTTAAACAGCTCTGTAAATGCTGTTTACTTTTGTAAACAGCATTTACAGAGCCCTCCTTCTGGCTCTGATTGGTCGCTTCTAGTAAGCACTGGGAGAAGGCATAGGACCACAATTTTTTTTCACAGCTTATCTGCCTCATCCCATAGTGTTGCAACATAGTGACAGTTTCAACTAATATTTAAAACATATTTTTTTATCAAATTTACATATTAACAGTTTTGAAATTGTGACTGCACAAATTCCTGCTCTGGGTTTAGAAAATATCTTGTGGGTGAAATAATTGGTGTATGTGCCAAATAAGTTTTCAGGGTGCTTTTGGTTCCAAATGTTTCTGAATTAAAGCTTTAATAAAGCAAGATTTTCAGATTAAATATTTGTGCTTATTTACTAAAGCAGAGACATGTGGGACTATTTCCTTTTCCCAGGCTCTGCTTTGGCAGCCCCGCTTTACTCCAAAGTAATCACGTTTCCACAGACCTGGCTAGGTCTGGAGCAGGGAGACGCCTCCATGGAGGGGACAGAGGTATATAACGCCTGAGCCCCACCTCCAGGAGTTATAAATAAAGCCATTTACAAATATGGTTACATGTAGACATGTAATTGTGTGGCGGTTGTCATACTCCAAACCGCCACACAATTTAACAATCCTTATTGGTCCCCCAAAACCTCATGAAACGGCGGAAAATTCTATACTGTACCATGCTGCTAGCACTTACCAACAACAGCGCAGCCCACCATAAATAATAACCCGGGCAGAACACGATGTGCTAAATAATAAAACATAATTTAACAAAGCTTTGAAGCAGATAAATTTTCCTCGAGGAATTTTAATAATCGAGGTACTCGAATCATTTGAGGAATCGTTACAGTCCTACTGTCATGTAAACTTTAAAACATAAAGTAATACAGCAGCTTCATGAAAGCCAGGTATAGTATAAATTAATTAAAGCTTACCTTAATCTTGGATGAAATGAAACCTCCACAGGTAGGATGCGTCGCTCCTTCACCCTGACGTTCCTTCCCT